AAAAAAATCACTTGAACCCCAGAGTTTGAGGTTGCTGTGCACCATGACACTATGACGCCACGGCACTCTAACCAGGACGATAGAGTGAGAACCTGTCTCAAAACAAAAAACAAAAAACACCCAGACCAAATTCTCTTGCAACAAATGTCATCACATCAAAACTTTTGTCTAAGGAATATTAAATATCTATTTAATAAGGAAGATATTTATGAGTTAACAAGAAATAATGACTAATAAAATTTTTAAATAAAAAGAAACAAGGTGAAGAATGGTATATATGAGGCTTTTTTTTTGTTTTAAAGGAAGGGATGGTCTGTCTGTCTACCTATCCATCCATCCATCTTATCCTTGTGTATCTATAGATTCTCTTTGGAAGAGTGAACAAGAAAATGATAGCTAGCTACTTTCAGGGAAGGGAAGCTGAGAGATGATGAGTTAGGGATGGGAGGAAACCTTTTTTGAGAGTATACTTCTTTGAAATATCTGATTTTTTCTTTTGTTGCATATTCTATATACTACCTATTAAAAAATTTAATGGAGAAATGGTCAAGTTATTCGATCTAGTGGACTATTAGATTTGACAAGCAAAGCAGTTGATACTATCTGGTGAATAAATGAATGAAATGGTGCCCACGTTTTGGGTCAGGTTAGGATTTGTATGTACTTTACCTAACCAACAAGTAAATACATGATCAAAAAAGAGAATTTATGGACCCCAAATGCTTGTGGATTACCTGCTACAGAGCAGGCAGGCTAGCTAGCTGGCACAGGTAGCACAAGGTCTGTTCCTAAGGTGCAGACCAGAAAAATGTTAAGTCAGATACAAGTAGAAGACTGACAGTTCTCAGCTGAGGGTTGATCCAATAAGGACGAGACTCATAAGGACTGTAATTGTTTTTTTTTTCCAAGACAGTCTCATTCTGGCACCCTGAGCAGAGTACCATGGTGTCATAGCTCACAGCAACCTCAAGCTCTTGGACTCAAGAGATCATCTTGTCTCAGTTTTTTTATTTTTAGTAGCGACAAGGTCTCGCTCTTGCTCAGGAAGGTCTTGAACTCCTGAGCTCAAGCAATCTACCTGCCTCGACACCCACAGTGCTAGGATTACAGGCGTGAGCCACTGTGCTCAGCCAGAACAATAATTCTAATTAGTTATTTTTGATTGAAGCAGGTAAGAAAAACATGTTAGTAGATCTTTAAGTTTCTAAGCTTTTAAATTTTAGTACTGTAATAGTTCAGGACCTTCAACTCAAGCACTATCCATCTAACAATAACACAATAGTGACCACTGCTTACCTGTGTTGTAAAAGAATTGGGAAATGGTTACTAACTTACACTGGAAGAGCAACATTTTGGGGATATTTGAGGGGCTAGGGGAGTGCAGATAAGTACACAGGGTTGAAAGTAAGAGGGAGTGAGAGAAATAGAGGACATGAGAGGAGAACAGAAATGAAAACTGTCCCACAAAGCTGAAGATACTTCTTAATTAGACTTAAAAAAAAAAAAATCAACTCCATAGAGATTCAGCAATCCTGACCCAAGAAAAAGAAACAACGAAATGAACTTCACTTCTATTTCTTGATGCCATATGTTTAAACCAGAGAAAAATGAGGGAAAGAGATATCCACATCCTAGACACCAAGTGACTATTTAAACCTCTGTAAGAAATAAATCCAGGGAATCAAGAATTTCTTCCTAGGCCAGTCATGGGTGGCTCATGCCTGTAATTCTAGCACTTTGGGAGGCCAAGGCAGGTGTTTAAGACCCGCCGGACCGAGAGTGAGACCTCATCTCTACTAAAAATAGAAAAACTAGCCAGGTGTTGTGGCAGGCGCCTATAGTCCCAGCTACTCAAGAGGCTGAGGCAAGAGGATTGCTCAATCCCAAGAGAGTTAGAAGTTGCTGTGAGCTATGATGCCATGGTACTCTACTCAGGGCAACAGAGTGAGACACTGTCTCAAAAACAAAAAGAACAGAAGAGAAAACCTATGTAGGTGGTCTCAAGAATTTTCCAAAAGGCTTTTCTTGCCTGATCTGCCTGAAATATAACAGTGTGACTGGAAACACATACTAGTCAGGCTTTCCACTTAATGAAGACATGTCCCTTGGGCACAGTGACATGAAGAAAACAGAGGATTAAAAACACCACCGTCCTTAGGCACCCTTAACCAAGGCAGAGGCTAAACTACCTTGGAAGACTTCTGAATTATTATAGAACTTGGTGAGCTGAAATGGTTTCTTTTTCTATATTTCTCACAAAAATCTAAAGTTCAACAGTTTAATTCATCTGAGAAATCTCGAATTCTTTGGCCGGTAGAAGGCAGACAGTGCTTTCCACAGAAGAGAATTAAATTTTCCTAAGTTTTCAAATGAGAAGATGGGAACATCATTCTGCAAAATGTTTGGATTTGTCTATACATTTCTCACCTAGATTACTTAACATGCAAATTCCCAAGCCCCATCTTCAGAGATTCCAAGTGAGCAGTGGTGGAAGCTCAGGAAATATACATTTCATGTGTAATTTCACGTACATGGCAAGGGATTCCAATTTAGAAGAACAGAATTTGAGGAACACTGTTTTCCACTTCTGGGAATGGTCCTAACTATCCTACCAAGAAAGAAAAACAGTAACAAAAAGCAATTTGTAGATTTCTAGGGCTGGGCACCCTGGCTCAAGTCTGTAATCCTAGAACTCTGGAAGCCTAAGGTGGGTGGATCCCTTACGATCAAGAGTTTGAGATCAGCCTGAACAAGAGTAAGCCCCTGTTTCTAGTATAAACAGAAAAATTAGCCAGGTGTTGTAGTGGGTGCCCATAGTCCCAGCTACTTAGGAGGTGAAGGTAAGAGGATCATTTAAACCCAGGAATTTGAGGTTGCTATGAGCTATGATGACCCCTGGCATTCAACCCAGGATGACAAAGTGAGACTCTGTATCAAAAAAAAAAAAAAAAATTATAGACTTCTAAACAGCAAAAATTTTGCTTCTAAAATTTTTTAAAATTTTTTTCTTGCTTCTAAAATTGCAAAAAAAAAAAAATTCTATTGTTTTAAAATAAAGGGTTCAGAAATTGGTTGCAGCTCCTAGATACAAGAGGCAAGTCTAATACAAGTGGGAATATGACTCGAGAATCAAATGTTGATCTCTGAGAGTGATATTTGCTGGGCATTTTCAAAATACTAATCAAGGCCATGCTTACTTCAAATTTAGCCTTAACAGCACAGTGTGGATTTAAGAATGGGTAGTACATATTAGAAGAGGAAGATAAGCAAACCAACAGTACTTACAACAAGTTCAAAGAACTATTTCATTCCCCTTTCACAAGCAATTCAAGAGTTCAGAGCAGCAAAATCTAGCAAGATGCATGAGTTAATTTATATACACACTCTGGACTATAGGTCAACAGATGGCAGACAGTTCAAGCAAACAATCTCTTGAGTTGACAGAATTCTTGTATCTAGGCCAACTTTAGCTGCTGTGTCAAACCTGTTCATACATGTTGGCTCAATGAGGAATGAGAGGAAAGCAAGCAATCAGAATAGGAAAAGGGAAGGGACATAGCATTGCTTCCGTAGGTTCTGGGCAGCACCTAAACTGCTTTCCCTTTAAATTAGAGGGAAGGGTTGGGCAACAAAGTGAGACCTAGTCTCTACAAAAGTTAAGAAAAATTAGCTGGGTGTGGCAGTGCACACCTGGAGTCCCAGCTACTTGGGAGGTTGAGACAGGAGCATCACCTGAGGCTAGGAGTTTGAGGTTGCTGTGAGCTAGGCTGATGTCCTTGTACTCTAGCCTGGGCAACAAAGTAAGACTCTGTCTCAAGTAAGTAAATAAATAAAAGTTTTTATAGAATGAGTCAGAATATAACAATTTACCCCTTAGGCCCCAAATTAAAAACATATATATTTTATTAGTAGACTGCACTCTAGCCCGGGCAATAGAGCAAGGCTTTCTCAAGATAAATTAGTCAACACATAAATAAATGAGGGGACAGGGTAACAGCTACCCGAAGGACGGAAGTCAAAGGAAATTGTAAGGAAACAAGGAAGATGAACCACTCAGCTGTGGGAAGCAGAAAAGGCTTCCATACTTTCTTCCTCTTACATAATCCAGTGCACATTAAGGTTTTCAAATACTCAAATCCTCAATCTTTTGTTTTTCCCATCTCATTGTGTCACTGGGAAGTATGTGGGCCTCCAGGATAACAGAATTAAATTTGGGAAAAAGGGACAAAAAGGCCTCTGTATTATAGGTAAAGAGTATAACTGAACTTGTAAGGAAAAACCAACTTTTCAATTCTTTTTACATAATAGAAGCAATTACTACCACTTGTTCTATATAATGTAAGAGTACAATATTTATTTCTCTATAAACAGACCTATAAACTAATTTCTTTCAAAACTATATGGGACATAGCTTGGGCATTTCAATCTTTTGAAAAACCGTGGAGAAGCATTAAGAAAATGTTTCCTGCCGGGCCAGGTGGCTCACGCCTATAATCCCAACACTGTGGGAGGCTAAAGGAGTTTGAGACTTGCCCGAACGAGTGTGAGATGCTGACTCCTAAAAAGCATGAAAAATCCAGCTGGTCACCGCAGTGAGCACCCATAATCCCAGGGGCTTTTAGAGGCTAAGGCAGCAGGATACCCACAGCCCAAGTCTGAGCCTGCAGTGCACAGGGTGGGACTCTGTCTCAAAAAAAAAAAAGAGAGAGAGAAAAGAAAAGAAAATGTTTCCTACTGTTTAAGACTCAGCTATTCTTTTTTTGTAAGATGGTGCCGAGTCCAAATTCTTCAAAAATGGGATTTTTGCTTGGGGAAAAAGTAAACACTTTTTAACTTCTCTTAAGATAATTTTTTGATTATTAAAAAAGAATTAAAAGAAGTTTGCACTCTCTCCTGGAGGGAGGAAAGAAGGGGGAAAAAAAACAAAAGAAATTTTACTTGAGTAAACAGAAATATAAACACTTAAAACACTTATATAAAATAAGCTGATGATTTCTTACCTTGTTACCACTTTGAGGTTTAAGGTCACTCTGCTCAAAAGAGGAAAACAAATATTTTAAGATACATCCAAATGAACTCTTACATTCTGTGCTTGTTTATAACATGGGAACCTGATACTACATTCTGGTGACAGTAGATTCCTTGGGAGTTTTCTGGGTCTGCAGAAGGCACTGATGCCCCCACTCTGAGTTAAGTACATCAGGGACATCCAAAGTTACTACCGTTAGCAAGGAACTTCCAAGAACAGTCAAATCACTATTTTATTTTTTATTGTTGGGGATTCCTTGAGGGTACACAGAAGCAGGTTATACTGATTGCTTTTGTTAGATAAGAACCCTCTTACAAACCACTATTTTAGATAGAGATGTTATTAATCATATTATAAAAACATATCAATCAATAAAAACAGTAATCCAAAATCAATTCTCTTAGCTTTCTAGAGATAAACATGCGCTGCTTGCCTAACAAGAGTAAAGCTTGATGATTTTAGAGAAAATTTAGGCTGATGGCTGGGTAGAATTAATTTTCAGTTTAATAATTTATGACCTCATCCCGTTCAGTGACTATTTGGTCATTTTCTCTGCCTAAGCTCTCCTAGCTCTGAGAGTTCTTACCGGATGGACATCACCAATATAGTACTGCTTTAACATTTCTCTGGCATCAGTAGAGTGGCCCACATCTTCAAAGCTTTCACTTGCATCTACACCAGCTTGTTCCAGCAGAACCTCTTCTCCACCAGGATGCTACAAGGAAAAGATAGTTACTGAACAGAGAGTTCTCTGAAAAGCAAGCCAATACAAGTTACTTTCCCACTCTACTTTCCTTTGTCTTTTCTCCCTTCAATGGGAATAATGGAGAAACTGATACCAGGTGCCACCTGACAAGATGCAATGGGAAGAACCCAGCATAACGTGGGTGATACTCTAGCCAAAAATGCATAATCTGGGGAATATTGTGAGGAACCCTAGGACAACTACAAATTGAGAGATATTCTACAAAATCTCTGTGGACAGCTCTGGCTTGTGATCTCCAAAGATATCAAGGTCATGAAAGTCAGGAAAAACTGAAGAAACTGTCCCAGACTAAAAGACAACAGAGAGACATGACAACCAGGAACATGTGATCCGGAGTTGGCTCCTTTTGCCAACATGATTGAGACAGTTCTGTAGAAACCCAAATGGGGACTCCAAGAAATACGGATTTCTTTATTTTATCCTCGCAACCCTTCTGTAAGTTTGAAATTGTTTCAAAATAAAAAGTTAAAGAGGCCAGGCATGGTGGCTCATGCCTATAATCCTAGCACTCTGGAAGGCCAAGGCAGATGGATCACTTGAGCTCAGGAGTTCGAGAACAGCCTAAGCAAGGTGAGATCCAAATAGAAAAATTAGCCAGGCATAGTGGCAAGTGCCTATAGTCCCAGCTACTTGGGAGACAGAGGCAAGAGAATTGCTTAATTAAGCCCAGGAGTTTGAGGTTGCTATGAACTATGACACCACAGCACTCTACTGAGAGTGACATAGTAACACTCTGTCTCAACAACAAAAAAAAGCAGACAGATACACATAGACTTATACATGCATAAAATACCCCTAGAAATGCTGCAGAGACCCTGGTGGGTAGGAGACAAGGTGGGAAGAAATACCTCACAGTATACTCAAGTAAAGCATTATTTGCTCAGAATATAGTTTTTTAAAAATTAGATTTAGCAAGGTCCTTGACTTAAACACTCAATAAACATTTACTTATAATTAGCAAATTCAGAATTTACATTATTCAAATTTATATTTTGGAAATACTATGTAATGCTTTTTACTTACTTTTTTTTTTTTTTTTTTTTTTTGAGGCAGAGCCTCAAGCTGTCCCCCTGGGTAGAGTGCCATGGCATCACAGCTCACAGCAACCTCCAACTCCTGGGCTCAAGTGAGTCTCCTGCCTCGGCCTCCCAAGTAGCTGGGACCACAGGTGCCCGCCACAACGCCTGGCTATTTTTTGGTTGCAGCCGTCATTGTTATTTGGCAGGCCCGGGCTGGATTCGAACCCACCACCTTAGGTGTATGTGGCTGGCGCCTTAGCCATTTGAGCCACAGGCGCCCAGCCTTACTTACTTTTTTTAAACAATCACTTCAAGAAAGAAGCGATCACTTAATGGTGAATAATATCATTCCCATATTAAGTATTAATTCAACTCAAGTACAAAAACTCTAAGTGTATCCTCTCAGTCATAGTCACATGCCCACGAGCTCCCTGAGGATAAGGAAAATTTCTATTTTTGTCCCCTAAAAGGTCCCCACCCAGCAAGTGGGTCTCACATCCCAGTATTTAAACATGCTATTTTAAAACAAAAGTAAGACAGTAACTATTTGTTATTACATCTGCACCCTTTCAGATGTGCTCTCTGTCACTGGTACTAAGTCATTAGCTCTGAACTTATGTTCCAATTTGCTCTAAGCACCTCAGCTATGGAAGACCTTTTTTTCCTTATGACACATCCCAACTATTATGTTCCCTTTAAGAACAAAAGGACAAGACTTAGCAGCTTAAGACATTTCAGGCAAGGACTAACTTCCTGCACAGTTCTTTCTGCAAAGTACTTTCACTTTCATCAATCTCTCACCACTCACAAATAAATGAATAAACATGAGAAAGTATAATGCTTTTTTTTAAATGTAGAAGTAAAAATTATATATTCACTGTGATAAATTTGGAAAAAACAAGAATAAAGAATCCAGAAATAAGTACACTGAACAATTGGTGCAAATTCCATCGCTTGTCCTATGCCTTCTTTCAATCATTACTCGACAATTTCTATTGAGGCTGTACTATTTTACATAGTTGGTAGTGATAATAAAAGTTTTTGTGTTATAAAAGTGAATTCATACAGTACATGTTTTATAGCCTCCCTTTGTTTCACTGAAGCAAGGGGGATCAGAGTGGTTCCAAAAAACCCTAGGTTTAGGAACTCTCACTCTAAAATGTGTCCATAATAGCAATGGCTTACACAAGCAAAAAGATGTCAGAGAACTCTTGGTTTCTGTTTTAGAACACTATGATCTTTAGATATTGCTATTTAAAATCGAACAGATGCAGGGGTGTAGTGGGCCTTCGGCAACCCAGCTGAAAGCAGTGTGCTAGGCCCAAAGCCACAGCAGAGTCTCGGGCCAGTACTAAAGCAAGGGAACGCCCAGGCTGACAGGCCTGAGAACAGAAGCCAGGCTAGCTCTCAGTGAAGACGGCAGGCAGGAGCTGCTCCAACTCAGCCTCTGGAGAGTCCTGCCACATTTATCACCTTCTTCTTGGACATGACCCTCCACTACCTGTTCATCCTGCTGCAGAGCAAGCAGAGTCTTCAGGTAAAATGGAAATTACATTCCCAAAAAGGCTTTCTTGACATGAAAATAATACTTCAACAATCCAAAGAATGGGTTTTTCAAAAACCAGGAAAACAGTGCCACCTTCTCCCACTATACCCTTGGACCTGATGTAACAAATGTCCTCCCTAGGATTCTTACTGGTACATTAATCAGCATGACATTCTACGGCTTTGTTACAACCAAGGTCATGTTTCTGCTAACCCTCTGTTTTAAGCCTATTTATTCTGCAAGCAAGGAATCAAACCACCCACATTAGAAGCATCCTGGGTGAGGATCCCAGTATTTCCTCAATGTATTTGGGCCTTGAAGCATTTACTCTCTGATTCTGGGCCAAGATAGCAGCAATAGTCAATAAGGAACAAGGGCCTGCCATAGACACCAACAAAGTTTCCAGGACAAAATGAGTTTTGAAGCTGATGGTATCATGTGATGTCAAAGAAAAGCTCATCTCCAAAGAAAAGACCTACACTTTGAAGGCATGTTCAAAAAGGAATTATAGAACTCCCTTTGTTTTTTGTTTTTTGTTTTTTTTAAAAGACCAAGCAGAGATTTTCTCTGCCAGAACTTGGAGTAGCCCTTAACTTGCTCATGTTCATTTGAGATGGAGCCTCTCAGAATAAAAAGAAAGATGTGTTAGAGGTGCCTGTGGCTCCAGGGGGTAGGGTGCTGGCCCCATATACTGACGGTGGCGGGTTCAAACCCGGCCCCAGCCAAATTGCAACAAAAAAATCACCTAAGCCCAAGGAGTTGGAGGTCGCTGTGAGTTGTGTGATGCCACAGCACTCTACTGAGGGCAATAAAGTGAGAATCTGTCTCTACAAAAAAAAAAAAGAAAGCAAGCAAGAAAGATGTGTGAGCTGGTGGGTGTGCAGCAAGGATCACTCTTATTAGAGCCACATTCCCCTTTATGCCTGAAACTAGAAATGAGGAGTATGTGCTGGGTGACTTGCAGAGAAAGAGACATTTTAAAATGTTTTTAATTTTCCTTCTGGTACCTCTAGAAATGAAAGGCAGACAAAGGGGGAGAAACTCAAGCTAGTGATAATATATAAAAACTTACCAGAAATTGAATCTTTGGTAACAGGATTATGGATTATAACTAATTATTATGTGCAGTCCTTCTGACTTTCTTTTTTTCAGAGACAGGGTCTTGCTCTGTCATCTAGGCTGGAGTACAGTGGCACAATCACAGCTCACTGTAGTCTCAAACTACTGAGCTCAAGGGATCCTCCAGTCTGACGATAGTAAATGGGAAATTTTATGTTACATGTATATTACCACATAAAAAAATTAAAAAAAAAAACCCAGACTCTAAGGAATATAAATGAATGTGTTCATGACTTTGAAATAATTACTAAGAATATTGGTTATTCTGAATTACCATAGGTATACGGTACCCTTCCTTCCTTCCATCCTTCTGTCCTTCCTTTTTTTGTGGAGACAAGAGCTCCACCCTGTCACCCTAGGTAGAGTGCCATGGTGTCATAGCTCACAGCAACCTCAAACCCTTAGACTAAGAGATGCTCTGCCTCAGCCTCGAGAGTAGCTGGGACAGGCAGCTGCAACAATGCCTGCAGGGCTAGATTTTTTAGTAGAGATGGTGTCTCGCTCTTGCTTAGGCTGGTCTCAAATCTGTGAGCTCAGGCAACCCACTCACTTCGGCTTCCCAGAGGAGTCCAGAGTTTGAAGTTCCTGTGAGTTATGATGTTGTCATGGCTCTCTACCCAGGGTGACAGAGTGAAACTCTGTCATGCAACTGACATATATAAAGAAACAAGTAGACTGGGCACAATGGCTCACCCTGTAATCCTAGCACTTTGGGAGATCAAAGTAGGAGGATTGCTTGAATCCAAAAGTTTAAGACAAGCCTGAGCAATAGATTCAGAAAAAAAAAAAAAAATTAGACAGGCATGGTAGTATGTGCCCACAGCCCCAGTTACTTGGGAGGCTGAGGCAGGAAGATTCATTGATCCCAGGAGTTTGAGGTTGCTATGAACTATGATGATGCCACTTCACTCTAGCCTGGGCAACCAAGTGAGATACTATCTCAAAGAGAGACAGAGACAGAGAGGGAGAAGGAGCTGACTATTTTATGGATTAGGCATAAGGCACAGTTTTAAAATTTTTTTTAGCTGCAGAATACTTTTTTCAAGCAATATTTTGGATGGAAGCCCAATATACACAATCAAGTATACATGATTAAAGTGCACAGCAATCTTCAAGAATCAATTTGAAAATTAGTAACAGACAAAAAAGAAGTAAGACTAGATTTCAAATTAAGTAATAGTTGTGGCAGACACAAGGCAGTAAGTTCTGGAATATGAATTTAATTTCAGTCCTGCTGGGTCTGACAAAATAGCAGGAACTCAAAG